CTAGGTCTCTCCATCAGGAAGCCAGAGAAAATCTAACATTACTTGTAAGTGAAAGGAACTTGCACGTTTCACAGCCCACTATGCATACACAGGAGCCAGGGTGAGGTTGCTCCACAGCTCGCAACCCACTGCCAGACCATTTACGTCGCCGAGCAATAACCGACCATCAAAAGTGACGCACTCCTCAACTTACCAATTCATATTTTATTTAGTTATTCTTGGAGTGTGAATTGATGAAATGTGAACCCACTAATTAGTTGTATTCTCTGATTGTCAAACTGCACCACGTATGCTCCTTTTATAGCTGCTTACAGTTCTCCAAGAATTTTTCAATTTTACGGTCTCCATGTCCGCAGCAACAACCCCCTCTGGAGCAGGAATCTGGAATCAAGGAGACGACAAGGTCAGTATCTAGAGCAACAAGTAATTATGGGTCAGATTTCTTCGAACAAAAGTAATTCCCTCACTAGCCATGGAGACTTTTCGAAAAACTGCACCGTAACCAACAAATCATCCAAAAAGAAGTGTTTGTAAGACCCCAACCGGGGCATCCTATGGAACGAATTCCAGAGTGTCTTTTCACTCTGAATTGAACTCGCTTTCAGTCAACAGTCGGGCGAATCTACAGGCTGGCAGCATGTCAGTTCTTGCAGGTCTGAAAACTTCTGACTCATGGCTTTGGAACGACTTTAGAATTATGCTGCAGTGTCGAGGTCGTCTTCCAGGGTTACCTGCACGTGTGTAAAGTGAGTTAACAATGATCTGCGGACATAAAGATTGCGTTTTGAGAGAGCTTTATTTAATACTGTCACCACTAAAGGTCAAAATCATCATATATTCACAACATATAATTTGTACAATTTCTCGTAAAAACTGCTCAACTATAGTGTTTCTTTTACAACAAATCATTCGTAACGTCAAACTTTCTAAGCCTAAGCGACTATCCTGTACAAAGGAGGAAATAATGGATAATCTTGGACAACACTCGAGTTCATTTCACGAAGCAGCAGCGCACAGGAGAAGGGTTGATTTCAAAAGAGATGCTCTCATCTACATTAAGCCTAGATACGCATTCGAAACAAGCTCGTTTTTGGAAAATATAAAATGGTGTTGCGGTAGAAATTTTCCAACATATGCATTCCCTTTTCAACGCAGCTATCAGCCAAACGCCTAGTATTGTGAATCCGAATTCATCATTGCCTTTCGAAGCAGGTGCTAATATTGGGCACCACGGCGTTAGGACGTTTGCGAAGCCCCAGTGTTGTAAGTGCCTCTCGTTGAATTGTGCGGTTGAGTAGTAAGTAAACGATTGCAGGAAACCCTGAAAGGTACAAGTTTTCAATGTGTTCTGTTTGTATCGACATTTCGACCACTTCTGACCCATTTTCTATTATGATTCCATTATTTCAGCTTGACGCTTTGAAGTAGCTATAAACGGGCACAAGCAAGGCTGTTGCCCAACGAGGCGATTTTGTTTCACGGATTCAGGGTTTGTGAGACGGTGGGTGAAGAAGAGGATGACTTTAGCTTATGAGGCCAGATAATAGCTTGTCTCAGTGTACAGTCTCTCTCCATATATATGGTCAGTGCATAAAGACATTGCGCCAAGGCGACACCGTTTGAAAGTGGAATATTAAGTGGGGCTCACCTAAGATATTAGGTTGTCCGGAAAGGAATGCGCGTTCGAGCTTAAAAAATTTTTTATTATAAAAACGAAATTAAACAAGATAAATTCAAAAGACAATCTCCATTAGTATCAATGACTTGTTGTCAACATTTATGCAAAAAATGGATTCCTCTTCTGAAGAACTCGACCGGCTGCGACTCAAAGAAGTTGGACACCCAGAGTTGGACCTTTTTCGCGGTTTGTGAATTTTCTCTCGGCCAGGGAGTTCTGCATCGACCGGAACAGATGGTAATCGATGGTGCCAGGTCTGATCTGTGTGGCGGATGAGGCAGGACTTTCCAGCCCAATTCCTCAATTTTTTTCTAGAGTGATTTTCGCCACATGTGGATGAGCGTTGTCGTGGATAAATTTTGTCGACGTCGTTTCGACACTTTGAAGACGCAGTGCTGGATCCATGCGGTTCAACTGGTGTTTGCAGATGTCCGCCGTAACCGTCTGACCCGATTCCGGAACTTCAAAGTACATCAAACCTTTGCTATTCCACCAAACACGGAGCATCACCTTTTTGCCGCGTATATCAGGTTTCGGAGTCCGTTTTGGAGGGTCACTGGAGTCTAACCACTGTCCTTTTCTCGTTGCGTTATCGAAGCAGACCCTTTTCTCATTTGATGTAATAATAGAGTCGAAAAAACCGCTGTTCTTGGAGCGACGAAGAAGAATTCCGGCCATTGCCACTCGTGTTGCCTTGTTTGCGTCGCTCAGCTGGTGCGGCACCCGCTCTTCCCAACTTTTTTCCCCAAAAAAAGCAAAGTAGACATGGACAAAAATATATCAAAAGAAGCACAATAAAAATCTCTTTCTAATAGACAAAACTGTCTCCAAAAATCTTCTATAGTAGGAGAGAAAAAATGGACAAGTTCAAAAAATTCAACGCGCATTCCTTTCCGGACAACCTAATACTTTCAAAAGTAGCAGCATCATACACTGTCCCGGCACTTGGTGTGCTACTTCATGCTGCAATTCGGAGCGAAAATCAGATGGTTCGCCACTCAGTGTGTGTTCAGAAGATTTTTCTTTTTTAGCTAGGAAATTCTACTTCTGAAAAGAATAGTTTGAAATTACTCTAGAAGCGCATTTATTCGCAGTTCGGCTTAGTAGGAGAAGGAAATATTTTCACTCTGCTCTTTCGCTAATTCTCTTTGGCATTTCATGTCAAATGGAATGAAACAACTAATTTTCGCCCCAAAGTGAGCTGTTGTAAAGTGTTGTACTAGTGATCCACTTCGAAGCATAAAGGTAAAGCCTTGGCTATTCAATCCCGTTTTGGATGCGGCACGCATTCCACTTACATTCAGGATCGTTTTGGCTTAATGAATGGACATAACTTATACAATGGCTTCCAAGAGCCAGACGATGTGCAAGTCAGTGTTTCTACCTTTCCAGAAGAATCTGGTGCCAATTTACAGTCCCGAAGGCGTGAGATTTTATTGGTCTGAGCTGTAGTTGGATCCTGGATATCACCTTCCCACGTGGTGAGCAGATCACTTACCACTACACCACCTCCGCACTCAGTCCACCTTGCTCAGAGTAGTTTACAGACTTTCACAGGGATGATCCGCTGGGAACCATTTAGCGTCTCTACGGAGCCGTACTGTACCCGCACTTGAATGAAATGAATCGGGAAAAGCCAGCCTAGTGCAGGGGTTGATAGCAGTTCCCGAAGTAAAGGGGTTTCTTAAGTACGTGGCTCATTTTGAGTGCAACCAAGAAGGCCTTCAAGCCGTTATCATAGTCATAAGTATCATGAGTAGAAATTGATATTCAATGAAGCTGTGTAGAAAAACGGGTGACATTACCATGTCCAAGCTGCCAGCAAATGTGACCAATCAAAACGAAATATGACGGCGTGGGGAAGAACTGCATGTAGACATAGATGAGTGCCGCAATCAAATTTGCCATACATATTGAGGAAGATTGTATGAAGAACTAAACGACCAAAGAGTTAAGCAAAACTGTACTACAACCCGAGGATCTCATCTTGTGAAATTAGCAGTCTACTTATCTTCAACTGAAGGGTATTCGGAAAGAAAACCTGTGTGACATTTGAAAAAGAAAACGAGTAGTCTGATTTACGAGCTCACCGATTTCTGCGCCCATGATAGCCCGCTAGCCCCTTTCGAGTGACGTAAAAGTACTCTTGAGTATTGCACATAAAGTAAACATGTCAGTACAACGATAAGCAGATTGTTGATGGTGTGCGGGTAATTGAAGAACTGAAAGACAGAATGGGTAGAAGCTCTCGTATTTTAGGAAATGTAGAAGTCACTATTACGAGAATCCTTAGTTATGGACAATAAAAATACACCCTAGGCAGGACACGAATCTCCACTTCAGGTTTGCCGGCCTAGTGTGCTCACCACTAAGCCACGAGGGCCGCCTTGCCCCTCTCATCCTATGATATTCACGCTTTAGATCAGCTCATCTTGACTTGAAACAGAACACGTCAGGTGATTTGACAGAAATTCCGCAAAAGTGTTAGCTCCAATCAGCGCAGAATATGACTGTTTCAGCTTGAGAGCTGCTCGAAACTTGAAGCACTGGGGCGTGCTTTTGTGATACACCTTATCGACTTTCCACTGCTCCAGTTTGCCTCAAACCCCGTAAACGTTGTAGTTCATCACACATGACTTACGTTTGAGCTGATTAAGGAAAGCAATGGACACGAAGGTTTACAGCTCTGGTTTGAAGTATTCTACGTATTCTTTTCTCAGCTGTGAATGGGATACACGGGTCTCATTGTATCGCTTCAGCCCGTTGAAGTTGGGCACGTGCTGTACACTCGTCTCCGAGAGCGGTTCTTCCAAGACGTTGAAAGAACGAACTATTTGCGTACTTCACGTTTCACTCTTCGTACAGTTTCACCACGCGAAAATAAGGGTCAAGGATAGCCATATCAGGGCGCCGTTTTTGGATTCCGACCTCTGCAGGGTTGTATTTGTGAATACCAAAATCTCTCAGCGACGCATGTAAAGGCGAAAACGCAGATAAAAGAAGCCGCGGACAAGGCAACAAAGGCAGAGAACAACCAGAAATGAGAGGGCGCAGACAAGAACCGCGTTTTGCATTTTTAGGCCACTGGTTGGCCGTGCGCAGCCAGAACTGGAAACGGTACTTGCATACCACTGTCCCTTCCATCCCCGCTCTCATGTACATTTGTGTGAGGAAAATCACCACCTTACTGCAGCTGATAACCCACTTGCACATGGCAAGGGCCACAATCCTCAGAGATATGTGCAGTTTTTCCGAGGCATTATCAACGTGCGCCCGCTTTCAGTTACCATATCTGAAAAAGAAGTTTGAAACTGTAAAATTTTCACACCTCGTCAATGCCATGTTTATCAGCAAACGTGCTGAAGAACCATGCTGTGTGATCCGAATTGAACAACAGAGGCTGAGTGAAAAGTATGAAATAGAGGCTGTAGGATAACGGGACTAATAGAACGACGTAGGTGCGCGCGTCCTTGAACAGCTGAAACGGACGGAATTAACTTTCACGTAAGTTGTTGTACCCCTCATTTTTAAACACAATTTTCACAGTACCGTTTTCGCCTTTCGAGTAAGAAAAATTGTACACATTGGGACTTGTTGTGAAAGTGATGAAAACCGGTAACAGTTAAGATGTTTGAATTCGTGAAGACGCTTGTACCAACACATACCGCTACACTACGCTACCTCTCCCCAGTTATCATCGAGTTCCTCAAATAAGACAAGTTACTAAATAGGTGCCATTGAGAGAAATGAAGAGTCAGCTAACTAAGGATGGTTCTGAAGTTGAAATGACCCTTTGTGAAGGGATTCGTTCACAGGCAGAACGAAAGTTGATGGATTTTGATGGATTCTTTGCCTGGTTCTCTGCGCTGAATGCCTGAATGCACAGCCATACCTGGGCTACGTCTAGGACTCCAAGGCCTCAATTTGTTAGAAGTGAAAACGACATTGTGGCTAGCGTCGCTCCAACGGTACCTGATCCGACGCTTCTCTAAGCCAGCTGAACTTTCCTTCTTTTTTTTTCTTGGCCTGGTAGCAGGGAAAATAAATATCTGTTCAGCGGACAGTGAAAAAAATCTTGCCAAAAAATCCTGCCTGGTAGTAGGGAAAAATAAATACCTGTTCAGGGGATAATGATAAAAAAACTTGAACTGTAAAGAAAGCAGTCAAATGCTACTACGGCTTTTAGTTTGATTAGTGACGATTCCCATAACACAGAGTCATCGCTTGACGTGCAAGCCACAGAAGTCACTTACCATTTGCATCACCTGCTTATTCCAAAGATCGAGCAGCCGATTGATGACTAGAACGAAGCAAATCATACATGCGCCGCACCATAAACCTGAAATATTCCTCGTTGCAACTATCAAACATTGCGCAATAGTTAATGTAGTCTCCCAATAGCCACCTTCTCCAGGTATTATTTTTCTTTTTACTCTGTTCTGGTTATCTAGAAGAAGCATTTTATGAACCTAGAGAGAAACATGCAAAGCAACATGTCGGTATATTTGGCTCTAAGCCGTCGATTTCTTGATCTCAACGGCAAGATCGATGACTATTCCCAACCTGGAGACTAAATAAACATAAGCCATCTAGTTCTCTTTTGGAGCACTGAATGTGGTTGTTACAATCCTTGCGAAAGAAATCTTCTGAGCTGCAAATTCTGAAAAGGCCATGTGCATCCAGAAGAGGCTAGAAGGGGAGTGTTCACTGCTTGGTCTTCGTTTCCTATAACTGATTCTGCAGTTGCAGGTAGAGTCGTGGTGAGTCTACTTCCCCATAAAATACGGGAGACAGCGTTGTGACCATCGTCAGTTTTCGATCAACAACCTGGAAATTTTGGGGATCTAGGATACTACCTTTTTTTGCAGCTCGTTATGATGAATTTCGGTCATCGAACTTTGAGGGTAACTACTGAAATAGCCAGATTGTGTAAGATTGCTATCTAGAGGAAGATTAGGGACAAAATCATCTAGCAGTAAGGAACTCCCTTTCCTTATCCCACCCGCTCAAAGATAGCATCCATCACTCAAGGAACTCAGCGGCTTGCGATGGCTTTATTTTTCGGAAGATTATAGTTTTACAGAACTGCAGCCTGAAAGATATATATTCCTAGCGCTGTCTCTCGGACAGTAAAATTTCAGTAAAAAAGAGATTTTTATACCATGATTGAAGAACATGTAGGCTATCATATTTGGGCTGAAATTGTGCTTCGCAACAGAAAGAAGAAACAGATCTTGGATATCGGAGAAGCACCTTTTCAGTTTGGTTTTATTATGAACAAAGATGCTTACCCAGCCCGGCAGATCCAGCGACATACATCAAGCGGGGCATTAAACAGTAATTTGCGCCGATCATCCAGAAGTATCCGGTCAGCAATGAGTTCACCCCGATCGCACACATATCGTATAGGCCTGAAAAGCCATGATAGTTAAGTTTACACGTAGATGTGAAAGTACAGAAAATTTCCTCGAATAGTGCTTCTACTGAATATCGGAGACAATGCAGCGCCTCATTCTAATCAGATCTTGGAGAGATTCTGGTAAGGCTGAAAAAGCTGCGGTGGGAGCTGCCCGTGATGTGCACTTTTAAAAGTACCCCTCAATTTTGCGCTACACCATCTTGACAGCACAGCTAACATCACATGAGGTATTATCAAATATCGAGTACTTCTTTTACCTCAGACATTACACAGGAAGCGCTGTCGGTGCTTGTTTCATATGAAACGGTAAAAAGCAACATTTTCCTGTCATTTTTCGGTGTGTAGAAGGTTTTACAGCAGTAGCTGTTGTCACTTTTTCTTAGTAAGTGTTATCAGTGAAACTGAATGCCGCCCGTGTGAGAAAAGTTGAAGAAGCTCCCTCAATTGGAATACTTTTGGGAAAGGCCGTGTGACGAACAACGCCAGAAAACATACCTAGGACAAGCATGATTTTGTAGCACGAGAGGCGACGATACTGCTTCCTTACGATGACTTGTAATACCAAAACGTATAGAAGCTGAAATTTATTGGATACTTTGATCATTTCATGGACGTTCTTCAATTCAACAAGCGATCGAATTATTGATTTCTGGGGCTCCAAGCTCCACCTGCATCTATTGGCAAGTTCATCTAGAAGCAAGTGAACTTTTTGTTGAGAAAGTGCTAATTTTAGAGGGGTTCCTTTGAACTGCATTTTTTCTAGGAATAGAAATTGTTGCGGAGGCTTCTAGAAATTGCTCCAGGACGAGAAAACTCACTTATCACACTGCTTATAACAAAAGGATCACCCCCTAGTTCCAGTCTTGAGTGCTTTGCAAACTGGAAGGCATGCTCCACGTTTACTTGGTGTTCAGGTGCCTTCTTTGGACATGATAATCCTGCGTGCGAGAGAACGTGCCACTCAAGCAGCTCAAAGATACGCGAGGAACGTGGACTTGCACGCGACGATGCCGCGGCCCCACCCAGTGACCCTGGCAACGCCCAACTGTTAATAAATCCGTCTTCTAAATCTCCTGCGCAACTCTCTTATCTGTGCTGCGGGGGTTCTTTTCAGAGAAATCTGGCTTACATTCAAGGTGAATACGGCCAGCTGCTAAGAACGTGAGATAAACTACATTAGATTACAACTCATTTGCAGGCATGTGGCTAAAAACATCACCTGAGTCACGCAGCACATTTATAATCTCTCTAGAAAAAAAAGTTCCTGGTTGTTCTTTAGAAAGGGCAGATGCGGGAGACCGTTTCGTAATCCTTGTCCGTCGACAGGGATGATGGCGTTGGAGGATGCCGCGAGGAGTCGTCTTTGGTCGTGGGGGGAGAAGGGTCGTAGAAAATTTTTTTGATAGTTAATTTTCTCGTTTCTTGGAGGTGGTCGTGTTTGCTCTTTGTTGGGAGAGCAAGGGGTCGTACTTGCTTTTGAGAGAAATATGCAGCGTTGGGAAAAAATTTGTCTCGGTGGTTGGAGGAAAACTGGAAAATTTTCGAATTACGGACAAATTGGAACAGTGGTAGAAAGTTGAGAAAATGTGGGAATATAGGAAAGTAGTGGATAGGATGGAGAAGGGGGGAGGTTGTATCAAGAAAGAAATTAGTGGGATGTCTATTTTCCGAAACTTTCCCCAGCGGCAGGACGTGTCCTCCTACAAATAGTGATTGGTTAGTGATCAATCCTTGAAGAAAACAACCAGGGGAGAACACCTGCGATGGCCTCATTCCGTGCCTCTTGACATCGTCCCGACAGAATGTCACTATATCAACTGTACATTTTCTTCTCAACAGCTATTTCGATGTGCCGTCCTTCCCAGGTAAGCTAGCAAACATCATTGTTGGGGAATTCCATCTAATAGGGTGGCTTTTAAGGCCGTGCTGCTTTGTAGGAAATCATGGTAAGCAGAGTGGTAGTCAGCACCGAAGAGCCAAATAACATCTTCACTGATCCAGGCTGAGATCTTATACAACCTTTCTGAGCCCCTCAAACATCTGAGCCCGTCATGAGATTTGCACTCACGTAATCCAACACTACCGCTAATATCACTGCAGTTACCCCTCCACATTCGAAAATCGGAAAAGCTACCCATATTAGGTACCCCATTAGCGTAGAAGGACAGGAAAAAACTGTCTATGTCGAAATTGTCTTGAACAGTTCTGACCTCAGCCGTGAGTCCGTAGATGATGAAGCACACGCCAATAACGTAATTCGGTTTCACCGCTTTGACGTCTCGTACCTCTGTAAAGCGCATTTCGTTAAGTTAGAGTTTTGAACAGCTTTGAAGAATTTCTTCTATTGCAAAATGAATAAAACACCATAATTAAAAGCTTTCCCTTTAGGGGATACCGCCTTCTCTTCTATTACCGTAGGGCTACATATTATGTATTTTGCAAAGATGCCGTTGAGAACTTGGGCTTTGATGCATACAAGAAGCGTACCCGTTGTTTAACGTTGCAATGAAAGAGATTTTACACTTCAGTATCTTTATTTTGCCCATTTGAAGCAAAACAAGCTGTTTCTGACAACATTAGTGAGCATTCAGACAATTTCTATAGCTTCCTTCCTTGAACTCTCTTCTGGTAACTATTTTCGCCTATCTCACTTCTCTCATGATATTCGTGGAATGAGAAGTGTAATATTAGCAATCAGTGCTAATGATGGGCACTCAATGGTCACACACAAGACATATAGCTTACAAGTATTTTTGTCCAATATTCCACTTTTTTTCAGGACGGTGGTAGTAAAGTATCAAGCTCCTTAGCATCAGCATCATATGGAGCCAGGATTAAATTACGAATCCCCTTCCACTCAGACTGTTCCAGTTCTTTGCTCTACGGGAACGGTAATCTGGGATCAGATTTGTTTGGAAGGGCAAAAACGCTAACTTTTTCGTTGGCGGGCCTCGCAAATAATAGTGAAGGCTCAATCGCATTCAAAATGCCGCTGCGATTCAGAATGAAAAATGAGTACGTGCCGTAACCCAGAAAGTGATCGAGATTGTGCAGCGCTAGAGATTTTCTCCTTCATCCTTTCCTTTGTGTTTCAAGCAACTTGGTCAAGGAAGATTGTGGGTAGAGAAAGAAGATCGGTAGTGCTTGACAACGACGTGGAATTCAACCTCTCAAAATTGCGGTTCATTTGTGAAAGAAGAATTGATGTAATGAAATGGATCGAATTCGCGACGATTGAAGTAACGTATGGAGAAATATCTTGGAGTGACTCACACGCAGTCATAATTAGTCACGTTTTCGGGATTTCCACCAGCTCTTATCAGCCACTCCATCTCTGTCTACGAATTCGCTGGGCAAGCTTCTGAAAAAGAATTTATTCAGTAAAAAAAAGCAGTAAACAAGAGGCGGTGTTGGCTAGACAGGACGCCGCCTAATATATCACCCAAATGATATTATACAGGCTTAAATTCCGAGAGGCTTGAATTACGCAGATTAATACATGGTGAACCATCACATCAGTCGGATTCTCCTAGAAATGGCATTCCTACACTCAGAACTTCAGACCTTTATCGTTCATTCTGAAGCTCTTTCAGTTGCAGAATTTAGCAGCCCACTAAAGTGGATTGTTGAAAAAACCTAGCAGCCCTCAACCAAAGACAGCAGTGGAGTAGTTTTCTTGCCCTCAAAGCCCTTCTACTTCACGAACGATGCGTAGCAGCAACGAAACAAAATAGAGCACTGACTGCTCCCGCTGGTCAACCTGCACAATGAAATTCATCAATGTGAAAAATCTCATTACTTAACAGGGCTGCAAGAGTGGAGACATTCCCTAACCGAACGCAGTGCATATACGGATTGTTTGATGCTGAGCGTGCCAGTGAGGGCTGGCGCGTCGCCATCCGTTCTTCAGCATTGTTGGAAAGGGTAAGCGACAACAATTGGAGAAAAAGGGCTGATACGAATAATATGAAAGAGTTTTATCGGTTTTCCGGAAGGAAAGAAGACAAAAACGGGTTGGCGCTGCCCCAAGCCTCACTATCTCTTGACACGCCCACATTTGCAACACATGAGACTGTATCACAAACAGCGTCTGCAGCTTTCTGGCTCGGGTGAATCAGAAAAACAACAGCGTCTGGATATTTCCACAGTAAACTTCAATGTAGGTAACAATATTCAGTGAACACCTGCCATGGATACAGTGTTAAGGCATCACTGCTTGCTCCATATATACAACCCTGATTAAGAACGTTATTGAATATTGCAAGAATTATCACGAAAAAGCCTGCGCAGTAATGTTAGTAACACTTGTCACCATATAATGGTAGTCATAGGCGGATGCTTCTGAGAGAACCTTAGTCATACCGTTAGTCTGCTAAATTTCTTGAGTCAATTTCGCGCTTCCGCAGCGATTGTTGATCATAAAAGTCTTCATAAAAGTCTGAGGTTTCCCGTCTTGATGATATGCTGGATGCAGTAGCCAAGTCCAGTGCAAAAAAAACTGTACTGCTGCAAAAAATGAGAGCGCATTCGGGCTTGGTGGGGACGCAGTACTTAGCTAGCTGAGTAATGGCAAGCTGGTACATGTCATCTTGTAGAGAACTACCGATTTCTGTGATCCAAGTGGCTTGCTCGAACAACTTTGCAGCCTCAAAGGATATTGCAGGTCTGACCAAAGTGAGACCTGTGAGTTAACTTCAACCAACAGGAGGAAATAGCGGCCCACTCCCTGCCGAACATCACCAGAATGGGTTCAGAAGTTTTCGCATCTATCAAAAGGTAGTTCTATTAGCAATCTTAATTGCAGCAATCAGGTCGTTTGTTGGATGCGTCAAAAAAGTTTAAAACATTCTTTACAACGAAAATAGCAGCAGTAGAAAATGCAAGCCGAGTGAGTAGTTAATAGTCATGGTCAGAAGTTCAATTCACACGAGCTGGGAAAACCCCCAGAAATCACGCCGACATCTGTAAGGCATACTAACTGAAGACAATTCAATTGATAACGTCGCATTCAGTCGGGGTGGTGTCGGGAGAGGTGCAAGAAGCAGCCAGCCGGCCGCCTTCTCTACAAATGATGACTATTTAGTGATCAATTGGGGAAGAAAACAGCCACTGGTAGAAACGCTGGTGGTGGGTTCATTCAGTCCCCTTTGAAACCGTCCCTCCAACCCACTAACTGTGACGATATCAACTGTAGTATCCACATAAAAGCAGAGTCAAAGAAACAATCTCCCATTGAAACGCATGGTGCAAGCATGACAGCGAATCTTTAAGAGACATGGGAAGAGGTCCTCTATTTTATAGTCAGAAAATGGGCGGTAGTTGCTCCTGAGAAACAAACAGCAATGTGAAGCTTTTCTGCACAGCGACATAACAACACCGGGTGATCCGTATAATTCCCTATTATCCGCTGCGCTACCCATGCCTAATGGTCACTGATATATTTCTCAGTTGACAGTCACCGTGTTACTGTAATATCACCCAGACAAATAATTTTGTTTTGTAGAGATTACGGCTGAGCCACTGGACGTCATTTTGGCCAACCTTTTGTGGGGTTTCTTGCCGAAGAAGTCACTTACGCTGCCATACACTTGGAACCACTGACCTCAAGAGTACTGTAGGAAAAGCCTGCCAAAGGTCGCCAATAGTACACAGAAAAAGAAGATGCGGCCTGTCAATAAGAGCATAGTTGAACGACTGATCGCAGTTCGTTTAATCAGATGGTAGCTCTTACGTAGGCAGCAATTATAAAAAAGTCAGGTTCGATGTAGGATCTGTGCAGGAAGCCCGATTTCAGATGGTGGAGCGGTGGCGCCGCTTCCTACAGAAACCACTGGATGTAGGTGCACCCTTACACGTACTTACCACATTATACTGAAACGATTATGTAATGCACCGTAATATTCAGCCTCAAGAGATGCTAATAGGACCGAAGTTCAGTGAGAAATTCGTGGAGTGGATGCGAGTAATCCCCACGTCAATTGAGGGCAACACATGCTAGGGATCCTCAATGAGAAGGTGGTGTACTTGGGTCTTCCTTCAGGGGTCAGAGCATAGAATGGAATCTATCTGAAACAGAACAGAGCGACAAAAGATGGGTGAATCGTACCATTATTGTTAATTTCAAAGGTGAAGGTGAACGCGAAAATACGGCCTGTCCTCAGCCGGTGGTAAAGTTTGATGCACGATTCACGTCTTCGGACTTTTCATCTAGGATTGGTGCAGGTAGGATCGGCTTCAAGAGGCTGGCACTGTGACATGAAAATTCGGAATTCTCTTTGATTTTAGACCTTGTTAGCGAATCACGCTCAGCCCGCCAACCAAAATGTGTCAGGTTTTTTCCGCTAGTTCGTTTCAATCCAATTATTCCGACGTACAATGAACTGTCCAGAAAACCGATTGACTTGTGTTTTCGCTAAATGCATCTGTTATAAACCATTCCTATGTATAGCTAACCCGTAGCATTGAATAACTAACTCCCTCCGTGCTATAAACAGCTCGTAATGTGGATACGAATACAAAAGAAGGTTTCAAGACGATAAGGGATTACCGGAAGAAATGTCGTTGAAGCCCCTGAGTTACAATAACATTCTGATAAGGAGAGTGCAAACCTAATACTTTCAAAAGTAGCAGCATCATACACTGTCCCGGCACTTGGTGTGCTACTTGATGGTGCAATTCAGAGCGTAAATCAAATGATTCGTCATTCGTGTGTGTTCAAAAGACTTTTCTTTTTTAGCTAGGAAATTCTACTTCTGAAAAGAATAGTTTGAAATTACTCTAGAAGCGCATTTACTCGCAGTTCGCTAAGTAGGAGAAGGAAGTATTTTCACACTGCTCTTTCGCTAATTCTCTTTGGCATTTCATTTCAAATGGGATGAAACAACTAATCTTCGCCCCAAAGTGAGCTTGTTGTAAAGTGTTGTACTAGGAATCCACTTTGAAGAATAAAGGTAAAGCCTTGGCTATTCAATCCCGTTTTGGATGCGCACGCATTCCACTTACATTTCAAGATCGTTCTGACTTAATGAATGGAACTAACTTATACAATGGCTTCCGATTGTCAGACGATGTACAAGTCAGTGTTTCTACCTTTCCAGAAGAATCTGGTGCCAATTTACAGTCCCGAAGGCGTGAGATTTTATTGGTCTGAGCTGTAGTTGGATCCTGGATATCACCTCCCACGCGGTGAGCAGATCACTTACCACTACACCACCTCCGCACTCAGTCCACCTTGCTCAGAGTAGCTTACAGACGTTCACAGGATGCCGCTGGGAACCATTTAGCTGTCTCTACGGAGAGCGCGTAGCTGTAGACCCCGCAAATTGAATGAAATGACGTCGGGAAAAGGCCAGCCTAGTGGCTACGCTGGTTGATAGCAGTTCCATCGAGCAGTCCACAAGGTATTTATAGTAGCGTGGCTCATTTCGAGCAGCCTAAGACAGGCCTTTCCCGCCGTTATTATAGTCACAAGTATCATGAGCAGAAATTGATATTCAATGAAGCTGTTTTGAAACACGGGTGACATTACCATGTCCAAGCTGCCAGCAAATGTGACCAAATCAAAACGAAATATGACGGCGTGGGGAGAAACTGCATGTAGACATAGATGAGTGCCGCAATCAAATTTGCCATACATATTGAGGAAGATTGGATGAAGAACTAAACGACCAGAGAGTCAAATAAAACTGTGCTACAACCCGAGGATCTCATCTTGTGAAATTAGCAGTCTACTTATCTTCAACTGAAAGGGTATTCAAAAAAAAAAACCTGTGTGAGAAACATTTGCAAAAGAAAACGAGTTGATCTTACGAGCTCACCGATTTCTTCTTTCCTCCCCTCTTGCGGCATGATAGACCGCTTACCGCGAGCCCTTTCGAAGTGCGTAAAAGTACTCTTGAGTATTGCACATAAAGTAAACATGTCAGTACAACGATAAGCAGATTGTTGATGGTGTGCGGGTAATTGAAGAACTGAAAGACAGAATGGGTAGAAGCTCTCGTATTTCAGGAAATGTAGAAGTCACTATTACGAGAATCCTTAGTTATGGACAATAAAAATACACCCTAGGCAGGACAACGAACCACCCTTCGTCGTGCTCCTCACTGTCAGGTTTGCCGGGCCTAGTGTGCTTACTAAGCCACTAGGGCCCCTTGCACTCCGTCTCATCACCCGTACTGATATTCAAAATGCTTTAGATCAGCTTTTGACTTGAAACAGAACACGTGAGGTGATTTGACAGAAATTCCGCAAAAGTGTTAGCTCCAATCAGCGCAGAATATGACTGTTTCAGCTTGAGAGCTGCTCGAAACTTGAAGCACTGGGCGTGCTCTTTGTGATATCACTTATCGACTTTCCACCTGGCTCGAACAGTTTGCTTTAACTCCCTAAAACTTTGTAGTTCATGACACATGACTTACGTTGGAGCTGATTAAGGAAAGCGATGACACGAAGGTTTATAGCTCTGGTTTGAAGTATTCTACGTATTCTTTTCTCTGCTGTGAATGGGATACACGGGTCTCATTGTATCGCTTCAGCCCGTTGAAGTCAGGCACGTGCTGTACACTCGTCTCCGAGAGCGGTCCTTCCAGGACGTTGAAAGAACGAACTACTTGCGTATACTCACGTTTGCTTCTTGTAGCAGTTTTACCAGCGCGAAAATAAGGGTCCAAGGATAGGCCATATCACGGAGCGCCGTTTTTGGATTCCGACCTCTGCAGAGTTGTATTTGTGAATACCAAAATCTCTCAGCGACGCATGTAAAGGCTAAAACGCAGATAAAAGAGCCGCGGACAAGGCTACAAAGGCAAGAACAACGGCAGAAAATGAGAGGTCGCAAAGAACAAGGCGTTTTTAGCATTTTATGGCCACTGGTTGGCCGGTGCGCAAGCCAGCAGTGGAAACGGCACTTGCAGCACCTGCTTGCCCTCCATTCCCCTGCTCTCGATTGCACAATTTTTGTGAGGCGATCAACAGAACTTATACAGCAGCTTGATAACCCACTTGCACATGGTAAGGGCCACAATCCTCAGAGATATGTGCAGTTTTTCCGAGGCATTATCAACGTGCGCCCGCTTTCAGTTACCATATCTGAAAAAGAAGTTTGGAAACTGTAAAATTTTCACACCTCGTCAATGCCATGTTTATCAGCAAACGTGCTGAAGAACCATGCTGTGTGATCCGAATTGAACAACAGAGGCTGAGTGAAAAGTATGAAATAGAGACTGTAGGATAACGGGACTAATAGAACGACGTAGGTGCGCGCGTCCTTGAACAGCTGAAACGGACGGAATTAACTTTCACGTAAATTGTTGTACCCCCTCATTTTTAAACATAATTTTCACAGTACCGTTTTCGCCTTTCGAGTAAGAAAAATTATACACATTGGGACTTGCTGTGAAAGTGATGAAAACCGGTACAGTTAAGATGTTTGAATTCGTGAAGACGCTTGTACCAACACATACCGCTACACTACGCTACCTCTCCCCAGTTATCATCGAGTTCCTCAAATAAGACAAGTTACTAAATAGGTGCCATTGAGATGAATGAAGAGTCAGCTAACTAAGGATGGTTCTGAAGTTGAAATGACCCTTTGTGAAGGGATTCGTTCACAGGCAGAACGAAAGTTGATGGATTTTGATGGATTCTTTGCCTGGTTCTCTGCGCTGAATGCCTGAATGCACAGCCATACCTGGGCTACGTCTAGGATTCCAAGGCCTCAATATGTTAAAAGTAAAAACGACATTGCGGCTAGCGTCGCTCCAACTGTACCTGATCCGACGCTTCTTTGAGCCAGCTGAACTTTCCTTCTTTTTTTTCTGCCTGGTTTAGCAAAAAAAAGTAAGGGAAAATAAATATCTGTTCAGCGGACAGTGAAAAAAATCTTGCCAAAAAATCCTGCCTGGTAGTAGGGAAAAATAAATACCTGTTCAGGGGATAATGATAAAAAAAACATGTGCCTTCTCTACAAATGATGACTATTTAGTGATCAATTGGGGAAGAAAACAGCCACTGGTAGAAAAGCTGGTGGTGGGTTCATTCAGTCCCCTTTGAAACCGTCCCTCCAACCCACTAACTGTGACGATATCAACTGTAGTATCCCCTAGAGGCAGAGGCAAACAAACAATCTCCCATTGAAACGCA